TCTAGCACTGGGGTTTGCTTCTTCGCGCCTTCCGCAGGGGTCGTGTTGCCTGCTGGTTCCTTGCCCGACCTCCTCCCGACATCTGGTTGCGACCTCCCAGGTTGATCGCTCTTGGATTTGGTCTCAGACTCCTCGACCTGAATTTGCTTTCTCTTCTTTGGTCGCTGAGCCGTTATCTTTAGCCTCGGGCGAACAGCCGATGGCTGGAAAGGCTTCGCGGTTCGGATTGGTGCATCCTCCAAAGGTTGTTGCTGAATTCCAGCAGGTTGCACCGGGGCACCCGATGTGACACCTTTAGCCGGGGGATTGGCAGGAGCCACATTGGTCGCCTTGGCTTTCCTTGACCGAAGAAAGTTGATTTGCCTTCGTCGTGGCTGCTCTAACTCCTTCGGAGGCATGGTCGCTATACGCAAGCATCGTTAGCAAAAGTGTATCAGTTTACGACCAGAAAAGAGTCAGTTAACAAGACTTACTCGGTGGAGGCTCTAAAGAAGCGTTCGCGTTGAAGAAACCGTATTTCCGCAAATTCGCGGTCGTCATGAGCTTCCTCGCGTAGTAAGCCGAAAGATACGATCCTATCCGGATCGAAGAGCAGCCCTAAGTCGGTTGTCTTGTTAACTGCCAAAAAAAAAAAAAAAAAAAAAAAAACAGGAAACAGGTCGTTAGAAAGAAAGCGCACTTCAAATTTAATGAACTCACCAAGGGAAAAGAGTCTACTTGGGTCCTGAAGGCGGTAATGGCCATCGTAACGAAAGAAGAAAAACTTCGTTTCGTAGGCCCTCGCGTTGCTAGGGTAGCTGTGTATCCCCTCAGCAATAGAAGGTCGCCTGGATAAGAACAAGTAATACGAATCCTTGTCCTTGCTCTTTTTCAAGTAATACGAGCAGCTGAGCTCCGTCGCGGTTAGCTCGCCTAGCCCGTTCTCGTGACATGCGATGTACATGGCAACAACAATAACATATGCGTTTGGAGTGAGCTGCATCGGCGCTATCCCGAAGTGATCCAAGACCAACCTGACAAAAGGGTGAAAGGGGATCAATCCCCCACCCTTGATGATCCCTTCGGAGATCGCGGCCAACCCACTTGATGGGTATCTCGATGAATGGGCCACATCGCGAAAAACTTTCACGTCGATACCATATTGTTTTATCACTTTCTCGAGCTCTTCCCCGGTAAGTACCAAGTAGACCTCAGGAGTGGCACTTGGAGCACCCTACGAGGACGAACTGGTTCCTTTCTCGGATGTGGTCGTTGAGGGGTCCATTCTACTGGTCTGCAAAAGCGACAAGCAGGGGAGTTATTTAGCCATCGTACGCTACTTCGTACGATGACGTGGAAGGAAGCAAACTCCCTAAAACCTAGAGAAAACCCTAACAGCATGATTCGAGTCGCCATTCATGGCTTGAACCCAACATGGGCGACTCGTCTTCGATTAGCTACCGGAAGACTAATGCCATTTACCAACCACGGGAATAGAAAATAAAAGCAGAGAAAGATTCTTACCTCTGGGAGTACGAAAATGGCTTCTGCTTCGAATATCGAAAAAACACTGGTTTGGAAGGCAAAGACTCCAAACTTGCGAAAATCTCTTGCTCTCTGTGAAAAAGACAAGTGTGGTGACATTGCCTGAGAAAGATATGAGTTTTTATAGCACGTAAAACGACATTTGTTTTTCTCGGAATCAAAACAATGTTTGGGCGGTAAAAATTTCTTACCGTTGATCACGGCCACGTGTCACAGATCAGGGAGGAAGAGTGAGCTTCACAATTGAAGAAAATCAAATCTTCATCTTTTCCGTTGAAAAACTCAAGCGACGGCACTCTTTCTTTCTCAGCATTAATTGCGCCCCAATCTGCATTTAATGCTCAGATAAGGGGCATCGTTTCAGCATGTCACACATTTAATGTTCTGATAAAGGGTATCGTGTCAGCACACAATGCATTTAATGTGCCTGGTTGGAACTTACCACGCGCATGACACGTCTGCCAGAGCAGAGACTGCTTCATTAAATGCATCTATACCAAAAGCACAACAGGCAACGCCTGACGAAGTCAGGTCTCTCATCCTTAGCAAGCAATGGCCAGGCGAGGTCGTGTTCGCGCAGAGTGCTATGCCGACCTATTTTCAAATAGGTCGGAATCACCAGAATTTCCCACAAGCATCCAATCGCGGCATGACTTATAGTTTCCAAGGTCCGATCCTCAAACCTTAAAAACTAGGGGACTTCTGTTATGCCTGAAAAATATAGGGCTGACGTAAGGCCCAGTCAGCGTGCAGAAGTCAGAACATGGGTACACCCGCAGCCTGCTTCTGTCAGAAGAGTGGGTGTGCGCTAGACCAGCCAGAAGCTGTGGTGATCCCACGTGTCCAATCCCTACAATAAATCTTGCAAATCACTCTAGAAGGTGGGCAATGTGACATAAAGAAGGATTTGCATGGATAATCCCGCCAACTCATAGATCCAATAATCATTATCTCAATGCATCCCACTATAAATTGAGAGTTCCTCTCTCATTCAGGGGATTCGCTCGTTTTTACTCTTGATTGGCTATTCTCTCTGTAATACAAAAACTGTCTCTTTCTTGTACTATCACTTGAAGGTCAGTCAGCTCACGCGACCTGACCCCTATCATTAATAATATAACAGTGGACGTAGGACTTGCTTCCTTAGCATCCGAACCACTTAAAAACGCTTTTCTCATTGCATTTACTCTCTTTTTCTTGCATTCACGTGTGTCTTCTAAGCTAACTCAACATTGCACATGTGCATTTAATTGGTGTAAAAATCACGCATCAATAATTAAAAAAGATGCAGTGTCGGTGCATTAATGCTGCATTTTCTCTCTTTCTGATCATTGCCAAGGGATTTTTTTTTTTTAATCTTATTTTTTGTGCGGACATATTTCATGTATCCTTGAATTTGCTACAAGCCTTGATAGATAATGAAACTAAAATCTTGTTATTCCAGTCTTGGACCATATTAATATCAATCTCTAGAAGGAAGGGAATTGGATGTTGGCTGGACAGCCTCCAGTAGGTAGCCCTGGACAATCAATAAACTTTTTCCCAGAAGGATCTGTGCACAAATAAATCTGGTAAAGTTGCCTTATACCTTATGCATTCACATTGCATTTAACTCCAGGTTCATATCCAACTACTCCTCTAATACTCTCTAGAATGCTGGATAAGCCGTACACTTTTCCATTTGGTTTTATTCCTGCAATACCATATATATATTGTCCTCAGGTGAACTAGTAAGGGAATGATATAGATTAGACTCTCGGATGAGACTAAGCAGCCGAAAAATTTAGAAATAAAAGGTTACCTGATTTCTTGAGAACTTTCAAAAGATCTTTCTTGTCCTTGAGGTCGAGAGCTGCTTTGAAGTAGGCGTGCTGGTCAAGGACCGACTCTGAGCATGTTCCATATTTTTTCCATTCATTAGACCATAACTTTGAGCCACTACCACCCGGGCATGCCAGCGTTGGCCAACTAATTTTCAATCTTTTGATGAGGTCTGAGATCTTTTGCAGATCAGCCAAGTAATTTAATTAATATACTTATAAAATAGGTGTGAACACCATTAATTGATGCATTTTCTATAACATTCCATTGCAATATATGTGGTTGTAATATTATTGATTTTATCTGAGGATCCCAATACCTTGGATTCTTTGTAAGGATTTTTTGATTTGCAGTACGATGGCTCGGAGTTCAAGAGGTCGTTTGGCCGAAGCACATGAATGGTGAAATTTGTTGCCGGTTTTTCTGTTTTTGGATAGCAACAACTTTGCTTGGTATCACAATATGATCCTGGCCACTGAATCAGAAGGATAAATGAATTAGAATATCTTCAGATAAGATATATATATATATATATATATATATATAGGTATACCAGTTATATCTCTTTTGAAACAATTTCGTTTACCTGTTGTATGAAGTAGAAAAAATCAAAACCCTGTGAGACACAAAGAACCATCAGACATTGTATTGTGAAGAATTTGATCAAGAGTGGACTGTTGGATATCATCTCTCTGATTTATGAGCTTTCCTTCAGAAAAGGTGATGATGCAATGGCTTAGATGGCTTTATTTTATAGGCAGAAGTTTAGATGTCTGAACAGAAATTGTGAAGCAATATATATATTTAATTATAACGTATCCATTCGGTTCAGGGAACATGTCAGCACAAGTTGCTATTTCAGCTTTTATCTTCTTTTTCATTTTTTATTGCTATCAACTTTAACTTATCTTATAGTAAAATGGGAGTTAGGAAATCAAGATGATTAGATGAACACTGACTTTTAAAACAAGAACATTAAAATATCAGTCAAATGAGTATTTCGATTTGCTAACCAGCTCATCGTGTGCCTTGAGTGTATATGGCTTATAACAAGGAAGATCCAATCAAGATGTATCTTGCTATTAGAAATATGAGTCGGTATAGTTTAAAGATTAAAGAATCTGCTAACCAGCTTATCATGTGCTTCGAGTTTATCAACCAAATGAGGATTTTGATTTGCTAACCTTCTCACTGTAAGAATACTAGTGAAATGTGTAGATTGAATTGATGAAACATTACAATAAAATGTTATTCCTTAATACTCCCCCGCAATTGGAGTGGTAGATCACGGAGATGCACTTGGAAATACAGCAACTGAAAACGCTCACAAGATAGGCCCTTGGTGAAAATGTTCACCAGTTGAAAGTTGGTAGAAACATGGCGAAGACGAAGAGCCCCACGGGCAACCAACTCACAAATGAAGTGAAAGATTGACGTCGATATGGTGAGTGCAAGCATGAAAGATAGAATTGGTAGCCATAGGAAGGGCATACTAATTGTCGCAAAGGAGTAGGGGAGAAGAGTGTAGAGGAATGTCAGCTCACGCAACAGATAACAAAACCAACAAATGTTGACAGTAACATGAGCAAGACCACAATACTTGGACTCAACACTAAAGCAAGACATAGTAGATTGCTTCTTGGTAGTCCAAGAAATCAAATTGCGACCAAGAAAAACACAATCGCTAGTGATAGAGCTACAGGTGGCGACATCAATCGCCCATCAGCATTAGAATAGGCTAGTAGATGAAGACCAAGGTCACGATGAAAAGTGAGACCACATAATAGAATACCCTTAAGGTAGCGATGAGTGGGAGCAGACCATCTTTGAGTAACTTGATTCACAGCAAAAGCAATGTCAGGCCGAGTGAGAGTGAGATATTGAAGACCACCAACCATACTGCGATAGAGAGTGATATCCTGAAACAGACCATCATCGGTGGACAATGACGATTTCGAGGATCCAAAGTGTGTGGCACAAGGAGCGCATGAGTCAAGCTCAAGCATCTATGTAAATCCACCACATAACGACGCGAAGATAGGTATAGAAGAGTAAGCTCCCAGACAACTCCCATGCCAAGAAGAAACCAAGAGAACCAAAGTAATAATCCGTAGAAGCGCATCATACTCTTCACACATTGCCTGACGTTAATGAGGGACAGGTTGTGCTTGCTTGAAGGGTGAAGGTTCATGTAGCATAGGATCCAAAGTCTCAGCAGTAAGAGTGCATGGAAGCACATGAAGTGATGAGGCCATGATAGCATTGATGTTATGGTACCTTTGACGAAGAGGTGGAGGTGGTGTCATAGATCTGTCAGGCACAGAATTCGTGGATGTCAAAAGGGAGGATGTTGAATCCCCAGAGGAAGGGGATAAAGAACTAGCTAATAGTGATTGAGGGAGACTAGTGGAGTCTAATTAAGACAGAGAGCTCGGGGAGGACAAAACCAAACTGGTTGAAGAAACAATGCTCGGGCAGGGAGATGACTAAAGGGAATCGATGGAGGGATCTACATTGACCGAGGGTGGCGGTGTATCAATGACTGGAGCAAATTGTGAATCAAGGCCAAAGTCAAGAACATCGGAGACTTGGACAGCCATGGATGGAATAGGCAAAGGTCGAAAGTCCAAAGGTTGTGGCAATGAAGTGGTAGCAGTAGCATAACAAGGAAATGTTATCTCATGAAACACCACATGGCGAGAAATGTAAACACGACCAATGGGTATATGGAGGCAACGATACCAGCAATGCAACAAGTCATACCCTAGGAAAATGCAGAGAGCAGAGCATGGGGCTAGTTTGTGTGTAGTGATCAGAGTGAATAGTGAATAACATGCACAACCAAAGTTTGTAAGAAGCCATGGTCAGGAGGATGCCAAAAAAGGACTTCCAAGGGACAACAATTATTCAACAATGGTGTGGGTAACTTATTAATAAAAAAAACAATAGTAAAAAATGCCTCCACCCAAAAGGATGGTAGCATGTTACCTTGTAATAAAATGTAGAGCCATTTTTCCACTATGTCATGGTGTTTCCGCTCAACAACACGTTTTTGGGCGGGGGTATAAGGGCATGACAATTAATGTGTAATACCGTGGGACTTAAGAAGAGAACGAAATAATTTATTATCAAAATCACCATCACCATTAGAACGCACAATTTTAATAGGACACAAAAGTAATTTTTCTACCATTAATTTAAATTTAACAAAAATCACAATAACAGCAAATTTTTTAAACATAGGAAATAACCAAGTAAACCGATTGAAGTCGTCTACAATGGATAAGTAATATTTAAAGGTGGACAATGATGGGATAGGAGTAGGACCCCAAATATCAAGATGAAGAAACTCGAGGAGAGCCTGAGCGGTGTATGTTCTTTTGGTAAAGGGAAAATGATAGCCTTTGCCAAGAGGGCACACAACAGAGAGGCCTTGCAAACCACAGATAGGATTGGACATGGAGGCAAGCACAATCTTAAGCACGGCAAATTAAAGGAAGGGTGTCCAAGACGACAATGCCAAACATTAGACAACACAAATAGAGGAAAGAGCGACGATAACTGGAAACGTTAATGGATGGAGCCCATTACTATTGCAACCAAAGAGAAGAATCTGACTCTTTCGTTTTGCCTTAACCACAAAACCAAACGAGTCAAGAAACCAAATGGAATCAATATCTAAAGTAAATTTATTAATAGATAACAAATTCTTAAATACTGACGAAACACACAAAAATCAAATAAAACAACTCGAGAACCAAGGGACTCTCATAGACACACTAAACCCTTATGAGTAATGGATAGAGACTGACCATTCCCAACAACAACGGAAGACATACCATTATGAGGCTAAGGAGAGGACAGAGTAGAGACATTAGGTGTCATGTAGTGTGTGGCTCCAAAATCAAGAACCCAATTGAAGTCAAAGGGATCACACACTGACATAGTAGTAAAGAGCATGGCAACAATATCCGTAGAGTAGGAAAAATTTATGTGTTGAGGACAAACACGAGCGAAGTACCCATGTTTGTCGCAAATTTGACAAGTACCTTGAGAAAGAACACCTGTTAGAGTGGACAACAAAGTAGGCTGAAACGAGGGTGGGGGTGGTTATCGAGGAGAGGACTGAGCACTACGGTCACGCCCGCGATTACCATGATTGCAAGATTGTGAGTTGCGCCTATTGGAAGAAAAGCCAGATGACCCAGATGATTGTGACAAGTTGTGAGCAACAACCGTAGCCATAGCTTGAGTGGATAAACTCGAGTGCTCTTGTTGAAGGCGTTCTTCTTGAACCGGGAGATCATGCAAGTCATCAAATGTGGTAGAGGTCCAAAGATGCAGAGAGGTGATGAATCCCTGGCACTCAAGACCCAATCCATCCACAACATACTCAACCAAGTTGGAATATGGAATCGAAGAGCCAGTTATGACAAACGAGTCAGAAACGTACTTGGCTTCAATGAGATAATCAACCGTCATCTGATCGGTAGTCTTTCGAAGAGTACACAACCTGGCACAAGTAGACCGAAGATGAATTCTGGAGAGAGTGTTCAATCATCGGTCAAGAAGGGCCCATGCTTCAGTAGCAATGGTGCACGATAATAACAAGCATTGGACAATGGAAGGTGAGACAGTGGACTTGATCCAAGTCAAGACCAAGCGATCAGCCCTCAACTAATGAGAGTGAGCTAGGTTAGAAGTACCGTCAAGAAGAAAATGGTGCAAGACGATGCGCATCACTTGCAATAGGGGACTACAGGTCTTGAATGTTAGTGTATGCCCTAGAAACCATTCGTCTTGTCGGTTTCAGAGCATTTTGTCTTGTATCAATATATCATAAATAATAGAAGAAAGAATTCTTCAATTCATATATATAAATTGCTTCCTTTATTCAGTCATGCATTTAAAATAAAGTATGTATATGAATTATCCAGGTGATTCATTTAATCGGTAAATGAATTTATCAAAAGGTTCCCTACGAGCAATATAATTTGGGCAACTATATTGCATAGTAGGCATACTGGATGCTTCCGAAAGATATCATGAGTTGATATAAGTACGGATGATGATGATAGTCATATTACTGGAGCATTAGTATGGATTAACGGTTGGTGAACTATTTTTTGAACGTGACCGAATAACAACAAATCACTTGGAAAAGCATGTAGTTAATGATTTATCGTTTGGTTATATCAGTGCACGATGTAGTCCTTTGACTTGAGACATTATGGTCAGATCTGATACGGATGCGTATGGTTCATACGGTGCATAAGTACAAGACTAGTCATGTTTCCTATGATAAAGCCTATTTGGTCATGTGTTATTCATATGTGGAAATGAACGATGGTCAAGAAGGGATCCATTGACTCGGAAATATAGGATCAGGAGTACCGCTGACTCCATTCGGATTCGAGTTCCTGGACGAATGTCGATAAATGTCAAAAATCAGAATCTATGGCCAGAGTCTATTATTAGTCATACGAAAGCAAGTTCGTGATGACAAGTTCCGGATATATTGATCGACGATTTGGTAGAACATCGAGTTTAGGATTTTGACGTTGCATGAATCCGTACTCGATCAGGATATATCAATGGAGGGACTTTACCTGCATGGTACATATGATCTGAAAAGGGTTTGATGAAGTATTTCTTCATCGTGGTTTAGGGACTATGGCACATTGCTAGATGCTTACCATAGTTGTTGGGCCTCCGGATAGGTTTTCAGATTCATCCAGAACTAGCTCATGGCTAATCCACGGTGGACCTACATGGCCAATAGCTTTGAGAAGTTAGAGAAGGATAAGAGAGAAAAATGATTATCCGAAGAGGGCTAGCACCTTCCGAGGGTAATGACAGGATTTCTGTGGTAATAGTTACATAGAAAATTATTTGTGACATTTTAAAGGTTAAAATGGTCAAGCAATAATTAATTGTATTTAATTATTATGTCTTAAAGCGTTAAGATAAATGAGATGAACTAAAATAATATTTTAATAGTTAAACGGCAAAAGGGTAAACTTATGGGTTGTTAATGTAAATTAGTTTAGTTTACATGGGGCCTTGAATAATATTGATTATTCAAATGGAAAATTAATAAATGCTTGGGGTCCTTTTAGAATAAGATTTTATTGGGGCATGCAAGTGAAAAACCAGTAATTACAAAATAACCCATGTATATATAAATGCAAGTGGTTGCATTTTAGGTCAAGTGTTCATTTTGTTCACTCAAAAGAAAAACAAGCTCTCTCTCTTAGGTTTGGCCACTCTCTCATTTTCTCAAGGTGGTGTTAAAGTGTGTAGGATTCATATTTTTGAATCTTGGCTTCATCAAACCTAAGCATTAGGAGAAAGTATAATGTTTTTTATGCTTTATTTACGGTTTTTGAATCCTATTAATCCATATCTGTACATGCATGTCTTGTTTACATGCTTCCAATCAACATTTTCCGCCACCTCTTCATGGTTCTTTCAATGAATGGCAAGGACTTCAAGGAACTAAGACTTCCAAGCGCAATGCATGTCACACACCATGAGGGAAGAGAAGTAGCGGTCGATGTTAACAGAGGTGGGCAAAGATGGTAGCGACATCAGTGGTGGTGAGGGAAGAGAAATGATCGTAAAAGGAAGCATCATCTGAGACGAAACAAGTGGCAACTGAGGAGAGGCTTTGGGGAAGCTAGACTGGCATCGTGGGTGAGGAGAAGCCCGACGACTAGAAAAAAAAGCCGCCCATGGAGAGAGATGAGGACGGCAGGCCGAATCAACATCTGGATAACTGATGACGTCGTTTGGGTGGGGAGGAGGACATTAGAATCAGTGACTGGGGGGTCATAGCAACAATAGGTGAAGTCAAAACAGCCATTGGAGATCGTAGGGGTACGGGTGTCTCTTCTCAAAGTTTGGGGGTGGCAGTTCACTTCTCAAAGTTTGAAGGTGGCGGCTGTCACTTCACAAAGTATGGGTGTTAAGGGAAAATCTCGTCGGACAAAAATATTGGTTGGGT